ACTCTCCCATTGTCGGGGTCCACACATTTCGCATTCACAAATACACACATCACTTGTTTGTACCTGACACGAAACACAGCTTTGCATCTCACAAAGGTTGTCCACACTGGGTCAGAGCTTAAGACACAGCTTCTGTGAGCAGGCCAGAGCTGCTGAGGAGAGACCCTGGGTCAATATCAATCACACAATGCTGCAGTCATCTCTGATCTAAAGAGAAATAAAATAAAATACATCATTTAAAATAGGAATGTGTATTTCTGACAAGTTCTTTGAAATCTTTCTCCATAACTGGACTAGGAAAATTTCAATGACCCTCTCAGGGCTTTGCTGTTGTTTACATCAGACTCAGTCCCTCAGAGAGTGTTCAAAAAACTTCTCAAGAACTCAAACTTAAATTTAGACTCCAAAGTTTCTTGAAGTTTTAATGGGTCCCACTGAGGGACACGACTGAGGAAGTGTCCCCAGGTTCCAGGAACAGCAGAACACTGGAGGCAGTGATGACAGCTGGGGACAAACAAGGCCAAGGTGTCTCTGGTGCTGAGCAATGCTGGATGTGTTTGAGGAATGCCAAGGGCCAAGGGCTGAGCCCCAGCCCCTGGCGAGGCAGATGCTGTCCCTCCCTCCTTGCTCAGGGCTCTTGCCGGGATGGGCACTGGCATGTGGGGATGTGCAATGGCAAGGGCAGGAGCATGGGGCGGCCCCTGCCAGGCTGCTGAGCAGGGACAAGGAGGCAATGAGGCCCCAGGCCTGCAAGGGTCGCTTGTCTCCTGCTCCTGCCTCAGGCCCAGGCCCAGCAGCCATGGCCAAAGTGCTGCCCAAGTTGGCTCTGGCAGGGCTGTCTTGCAGCTGCTGCACATGCCTGTGCCCTGTGCAGCCCAGGCTGTGCTACGGTGTCCCTGCCCTGCGCCTCTGTCCCTGCAGGCTGTCAGCATCCCCCAGCTGCCCCTTCTTTTTACTGACAGCTCTGCCTCCTGCCTGCCTCCTCCTGCCCACACAAAGCCTGGGGTTGACTAAGGCTCCTTCTGGGGATGTGTTGTGCCCCAGCCCTGCCAAAATGGAAATTAATCTCTCCTCATTTCCATTCTGGGTCATTACAGCTGCACTTGGTGACAATATTTCTATCTCAGGCTCATTTCCACTATGAAGGAGAGGTCCATTATATTTGAATCCACCTCTGTAGTCATCACAGGCTGTTCTTGTTCTGTCCTCAGTCTCCACACTTTTGAACCCAGGACTTCCAGCTCCCATATCGTGATCAAGTTCTTGGGGCCTCCAAAGCACATCCTGGGAGATCTCTGGGCCCTCTCAAAGGTGCTCAGCCGTGGAGATGTGATTTAAGTCCAGGAATGGCTTTTTGCCCAGAGATTGTACTGGGGAATATAATACAGAATAATACACTGTATCTTTAAACTGACTGAGGGCAGATTTAGATTTTATGTAAGGTGAAATATTTTATGATGATGATGGCAGGACACTGGCACTGGTTGCCCGTAGAATAGAAGCCCAATCCCTGGAAGTGCTTAAGGTCAGGGGCTTTGTACAACCCAAACAAGGGAAGGTGTCCCTGGGTAATGGAAGGGGAGTTTTACCAGAGACTCTTTTAGGTCTCTTCTAACTCAAACCATTTTACAATTCTTTGATTCTGATTTCCCAACTGCTTCTCCACAGGGCTGCAAGTACCTATGCACACCATGCCAGCATTTTAATCTGGCCTAATTCCCAACATTTCCTTAAAAAGGAAAGAATTGCTATATCAGGGACATGAATTGCCGTGTTTATGGAGGAGCCATTAAAAGCCCCAAAAGTAAAGAAACGGAAAGGAAGAACCAACATCTCAGTGTGAAAGATCACCAAGTGAGACTCTGATGATGAGCTCCCAGCTGAGGATGGGGGTTTCTGGCTTGGGGTCTGAGTATCAGGATGGAAGGTCACTCCCAGGAGGAGTCCCTGTGCATTTCCCTGCCCCATGGCTCTGCCCTTCCTGATCCAGTAGCTGTGGGGCAGCAGAGCTGGGGCAATGCAGGGACAGGGCTGGCTCTGACAGGGCTGTTGTGGTTTAGGAATGGTGCTCTCCAATTTCTTACTCCCACTACAAAGACCACGTGTCTCCCCAGATTTATATTCCCACCATTGTCCCCCACACCACAGGGGCTTTACTTGCCTGCCTGGCCCTGCTTGATCTCAGCCCACGTCTCACGGTCAGGGATAACCTGGAGATGGTGTCCATGGTTAAATCCACCCCTTGCTCATGAGCTCACCTGGAGGTTGCATCTTTTCACTGATAATCTGAGGTGTCCAGAAATAACTCACCCTTGTGTGGCCAGTCCAGACCCCCTTGAGACACTTTAATCCTGGCAGCCCCATCCTCCTGTCCGTTGTTGTGATGCTCTTCAGTGCCCGACTCTTGGGCACATGAGCATCCACACGAGGGACTTTCACAGCCAGGTTCTCCCTCGGACAGAGATGTCTTGCCCCAGTCCAGCAGCCCAACTGGGTTTCCCTCTGCACTGCCAATTGCCCTTTTTCCATGGTTCCAGCCACCCCACAGAGCATTTCCCACCATCCCCGAGTCAGTGCAGAGGTGCAGTGCTGGCCATTTCTCTCACTCAGAGCTCCAGGTACGGTCCCAGTGCTACAGTGACTGCAGGAAAGGGGACCCCACAATGGGACATTTCTTGGTCAAATACAGACAGGAAGAGTGACAAACTGTCTGTGACTCAGGTTTCGGCCTCGCAGCCCCCGCCGTGGTTTGCAGGGAGCTGCAGTGTGGCCCGGCCCTGGCTGTGCCCAGCAGTGCTGGCCTGGGAGAAGGTGTCAGTGCCAGCTGGCCCAGGGAGCTGCAGCGTGTGGGGAACAAATCCCCCCTGGCTTCTTGCCCCAGGGTGACACTGCAGGGCCAATGGAACCAAGGGGCCATTGTAGCACTTCAGGGCCCCATGGAATTAAGGGGACTCTTTGGACATTGTGGGGCCTTGTGGGACTGACGCCATTGTGACACTTCAGAACCAAGGGGCCGCTGTGAAACTACAGGGCCTTGTGGAACTGATACTGAAATCACCCAAATAGAAACTTTCTAACACAGTTTGAGTATTAAAAAGCAGCCATTCTTTATTGCAGCACTGATCACTTGGAGGATCCTTCCTTCATTTGAGTACACCGAGCATCAGGTGAGCAGAGGTTTTATCACACACACTATTTACATATTCATGAGTTGTTCCTCTGTGGTGGCCTACAGCTGGCCTGTATGCCTCACAGTATAAATAATTCCAACTTTATAACTGAAATAAGTGATTTATTATATAATTCCCTTACTTATGTAATTTGACCATTAAGAGCATGCCCAGGCCTTTGGGGACTCAGGCTGCTATTGGCTGGTTAGCTGAATAGTAACTGGCTCAGCCAATGAGGATTAACCTCACGGGCTTTTTCATTTATATAAGGGTGATCTCAATAAAGCTGCCTGTTGCTGCATGAACATGGAGTGTCTAGGCCCCTGTCTCCTGTCACTATAGGGCACAAAAGAACAGAAGTGCACACTGCTGCTCTCAAGGTGAAGAAAAAAGGGAAGATTATTTTCTAACTCCAACATTTATCGTTTTCCAAAAGTGATAGTGGATTGGAGGGTGACAGTGCCACTTCTCCAATGACACTGGATAAACCAACAGTCCATGAAATTTCTCCTCCTCCATAAAAGAATGGAAAAGAAAGTGCATGAGAAAGTTCACTACAAGAATGTCAACATCAGAAGGCTTAGAAAATGTTGAAAAATAAGGGCGACATCTCACCCTTTTCTGTTTAAAAAAAGAAAAAGAGAAAAGAAAATGAACAATGTGAAAAAGAATACATGAACAATAGTCAGTGTTCATTTGTGGAGGAATCATTGGAGTGATCACTCGCGTCGTCTGCATCCGAGTCATCACTCAATGATTCACCCGCTTGATGCCTTTCAGGTTGGTCACAGTTTCCATCTTGCCCGTCAGCTGGATTCTGTCTCTGCGGTCCAGGTCAGGGCGAACACACTTTGAGGTACCCAGTGTACTCCAGTATCTGTGGACCCGCGCCCCAAAGTGATAAGGTCATAGGGACCTTCCCCCTGTTTAGTGACTAAATTCTGCGCCCGAACCTTTGCTCGAGGCTGATGTGCCTCATCCAGAGGCTGCAACGAGAGATGGTGATTCAAAATGAAAGGATTATTTGAGTTCTGCGGCACAGTGAGATGATTGATTGCACACAAAGTTTTTGTTAACTGACTCTGCGGGGTTTCACACTGCATTCCCCTTTTTTGTTTTTGAAGAACCTGCTTCAGAGTACCATGAGTGCTTTCTACAATAGCTTGACCAGTCAGAGAATGAGGGATACCAAACCTGTGAGAGACACCCCACAACTGCAGGAACTGCCGCACCTTTTGCGATGCGTAAGCAGGACCATTGTCAGTTTTCACAGCAGAAGGTATGCCCAGAATGGCAAAGGTCTGCCTCCAGTGGGCAAGGACATCACGGGCCTTCTCCCCAGTGTGAGCAGAAGCCCACATCACAGATGAGAACGTGTCCACAGTGACATGCACATACCTGAGCCAGCCAAACTTGGCAATCTGGGTGACATCGGTCTGCCAAAGCTCCAAGGCCCTAAGGTATCTGGGGTTTGCCCCTACCGGCAAAGGCAGACCAAGTGCGTAGCAGTCATCACATGACTCAACAATGTCACGAGCCTCAGTTGGCGTCAGCTGAAACTGCTTCTGCAGGGTATGTACGTTTTGGTGGAAAAACCCATGCGATGCTTCGGCCTGCGCGAGTGTATAAGGCTGAGGCGCTACCCACGTTGGGTTAGCCAACTTGTCAGCCCTCGCGTTACCTTCCACTATAAAGCCTGGCAAATTGGTGTGACTCCTCACATGCAGAACATAGAATGGATGAACCCGGGCCTGAATGGCACACCACAAGGTCTTCAGTAAATGAAACAAGGCAGGATTACTGACCTCCTTCAAAACCAAATGACCCAACCACTGCGTGATGTCAGCCACATAGGCGGAATCCATGACCAAGTTGAAAGGTTCCTGCGAAAATTTCTCAAATGCCATGACAGCAGCCCTCAATTCAACGAATTGGGCTGACCCATCGTCATGACCACCCAGAACCTGCTACTCTGATCTGTCCCTCCAAGTAACAATGGCCTTTCCTGTTTTCCCTGAACCATCAGTGAAGACAGTGGCTCCTTGCACGGGTTCCTGACTATTTTTGGGCTGCAAAGGGATTTGTGTGAATTTTGCCATATGCAGTAGCCTATGGCTGGGCAGATGATAAGTGATCTGCCCTGAAAAGTTTTCCGGAGCACTCTGCGGGGACACACTGTTTGCAAAGCTCCAGTCAAAATCCTTCCATTGTACTGGGAATATGATCTTTGCGGGATCCACACCCATCAATTGCAAACATTGTTGGCGGCATTTGATTATCAAGCAAGCAATTAGCTCAAACAATGCAGTTGCCGTCTTTTGCAGCTGATGGGCCAGGAAAACCCATTCCAAAATGAGCAAGGAATCGGAACATTTGTCACTCCACTGGTCAATGATGCCTGTGGGATGTGAATCTGGAGTGGTGATGAATACAGTGACATCAACAGAGGGATCAATGTGATGAACTTGGCAAGCTGAAACAGCTTGCTGAACCACCTCCAGCACCTGACGTGCCTCAGGGGTCAATGTGCGAGGTGAGTTTAAATCAGAGTCCCCTTTCAACAAATCATACAGAGGAGACAGCTGTGCATCGGTTAGTCCCAAGTACGGACGTAACCAAGTGATGACACCCACCAATTTCTGAGCATCATTCAGTGTCTTCACACAATGCACAAATTGCACCTCCATGTCAAAATTGTCATTTTGACCCCCAAATATTTCCTAGGAGGTTGCTGTTGAACCTTTCCTGGAGCCACCTGCAGTCCATGAGCATGCAAAGCATGGAGCAACCGAGGCTGAATCCTCTGCAGCTCATCCTGGGTGGACGCAGCCACCAAAATGTCATCCATATAATGATACAGACGTGAATCAGGAAACTGCTTGCAAACTCCACACAAGGCACAGGCCACATACCATTGCCATATGGCAGGGAAGTTCTCCATGCCCTGAGGCAATGTCCTCTATTGGTATCTCTACGTGGGCTCAGCATTGTTAATTGCTGGCATTGAGAAGGCAAATTTTGTTCTGTCATCGGGATGCAAAGGAATCGTAAAGAAACAATCCTTCAGATCCACAATGAGGACTGGCCAGTCGGTGGGAAGTGTGGCAGGCGATGGCATGCCTGCCTGCAATGTTCCCATGCTTTCCATCACGGCATTGACCTTTCGGAGATCTTGTAACAACTGCCATTCCCCAGATTTCTTTTTGATGCAGAAGACAGGAGTGTTCCAGGGACTGGTAGAAGGCTCCAGATGATCCTGGTCCAACTGCTCCTGCACCAGATTCTAAAGGGTGACCAATTTATCTTGAGGGAGGGGCCACTGGTTCTCCCAGACGGGTTTGTCCACCAGCCACCGTATAGGAGGCATAGGACACTCTGCGCCCTTCATCGCAGTGGCCCCCATCAAAAACCCGTCCCGATGCGCACCCCCCAGGCAGACAGAACATCCCTCCCCCAGAGGTTTTCAGAAATGGAAGCAACACGAGGCCTAACCCAAGCCGTCTGTCCATCCGGGTTCGTGATCAGCACGGGCCACTGGCTCACGTGGCACTTCATTCTCCCTCCCACGCCCACGATAAACGTCTCCACCGGATCCAGGGGCCACTCCCAGGGCCAGGCAGCATGGGAGAGAACCGTGATGCCAGCACCACTGTCAAGAAGCCCATGGAGGTGAATCTCTGATGGCGTCGCACCAGGAACGGACAGGGTACGCAGCATCTTGGGAGGGTCCTTGGCCAGGACAGTGGTCCACTTGAGGCGGCCCAGTGGATCCAAAGCCGCCCGCTCCACGTGACCGGTCAGCTGTCCTGGGAACAGAATAGGACTTAAAAGGCACAAGCTGAGCAAGTCGCGTCCCTTTCAGGATCGTGACGGGGAGGGTGGGTGTGGAGACCATGGCACAAATCTGCCCTGTGAAATCTGCACCTATGAGCCCCAGGTGCACAATGATGCCCTGAAGAATGGCACTAGACCTCCCCACCAGGAGAGCACTCATGCCCCCACCCAAGGGACCAAAGGCATCCAGGGGAACCTTGTGTATTTGACAAGATTCTAAAACAACTGTTGCTATGGTGCAGACATCCACACCTGCTGAGCCACGGGTGCTGACTGCAAGCCAGCAAAGCAAACTTCCATCGGCTCTGGGGTCTGGGGAGAAGCTTGTGTCTGCACACGCTCCTCCTGCGTGCTCCGCCTGACATTTCCTGAGCCCAGTAAAGCCTGGCCATTAACATGAACAGTCACCTTGCAGACATTGGACATGGGATTTGGCCTACCGCACTGACCACACAAGAACATGGGAAATCTGACCTTCTGTGCTTTCTTCCCCTGCTTCTTGCCAGCCTGCGCAGTCCCCTGCTGTGGCCGCCTGCCCTGCAGTGATGCCCAGACCAGCTGCACAGTAGCAGCCACAGCAGCTAACTTTCAACCCAGGGGGACGATGTCTGCACAGTCCTCTGCCATCTGGGAGACAGTAGGAAAACCAGGCAGAGCCACTATGACCCTCCTACAAGCATCATTGCAATTGTATCTCACAAGGTTTGCAATCACAATCCTCCTGGCAACAGGATCAGGCACCTGCCTCTCCACAAATGCAGTCAGCCTTGCCGCAAATGCCATGAAAGGCTCATCAACCCCCTGGACAATGGTGGCAAACGGCTTCTTTGGAGCAGCCATTTCCAGGGTCTGAACAATTGCTGCCATGCCCAGCATGTGGCACTGGTCAAGCACAAGGGGATCGAATCCAACCTGCCCCCGAACATCGGCATAAAGCCCCACATCCAACAGCACGTCAGCGACAGCCCCACACCTGGGGTCCTGCGGCGCCAGCGCAGCATTCTGCACCACTGCCTTGGCCGCCAAACAAACCCACTTGGGTCTCAAAAGCATCATATTGCAAAGGGTCAAAAAGAGAATGTGCCACACGACGGAGGTCATGAGGCATCAGCACATCTGTAGCAACCCTCCGGAGAGTCTGCATAACCTCAGTAGACCCCAAACCATGCTGAGCAACCGCATCATGGACTTCTCTCTCCAGCTTATATGAAAGGGGTTGATGGGTGTTATGAGTAACACCCCTGAGCACCGGGAAAGCCTGGGAACCCCCTGGCAAAGCCACAGCACCTGCTGTGTCCGGTCCTTGGGCCCCACAGGAACAAGAGTAGATGATTGACTGGGAGCCAGCTGAACACCACTCGCCCCCGCGCCACCTGCAGCACCAGCAGAGTCAGAGGACCCCACTCCACAACCCTGCAGATGCCGTGAGGAGGCAGGCTCACACACCTCGTCAGACTTAGTTTTGGCTTCTCACCAGAAACACACGGGGTCCCTCAGATGCATGGTCACCTGGCATGAGGGAAGCATCCACAAATTTGACGAGGAGGTGCCACAGCCCCGGACACCCACCAGCCTCCCACTGGCCGTGTCAGCATTTGCGCTAAAGGTGAGCACCTCAGCGCCCTGTCAGGCCACAGCCCCGGCAGGGGGGCACCACGGCAGGCACAGGTGCCAGCACAGCTCGCAAACCTGGTGTGGACTGGGATGAGACCGGTGCGGGGTGCCCGGTCCCTGACATGGGGGAGGGGCGGGGTGCCAAGAGAGGCGTGGCCCGCGGAGCCGAGTCACTGACAGGTGGCACAAGGGAGTCTGGCACAGCCCCTGTGAGCGTCCAACCTGAGATGCTAGACTCTACAGCGGGCACCATCCCCACTGAGCGGAATGGGGTGGACTGCCCACCCACTGGAGTGGGGCCTGACAGAACGCCGACCACCGCCCCACTCCCGGCTGCTTCCACCGACTGCGCATGCCCAGCAGGCTGTGCAGGCCCAGAGACGGGCGAAGTCGCCCCCCCTGCTGTGCTGCCCGACTTGCAGGCAGGTGAACCTGCCCTTGCCGCACTCAGGGGGAATTTCGTGGAAACACGGCAGTTCGGACAAAGAGTCATCACCGAATTAGACTCAATCCGAGGCAGAGGCTGACCCTCAAGCACCGGGAAGGGACAAAGAGAGGGCAGCACGCCCCCCGCCCCACCGCCTGTGCGGGGCAGGGCGAGGCGAGGACGTCCAGCTGACTCCACAGAGTCCCCAGAAGCCCACGGGGCTTCACCTCCCGGACTCAGGACCAGCTGGCCAGGACCCCAATCCACCCCAGGGGAACAATCATCACCCACCAGCACACCGTCCCGGGGTGGGAGGGAGGGCTCCACAGAAATTCAAACTCCCCCTCGTCCACGTCCGAGACTGAAGGGCTCCCCTGGGAACTCCGAGGGCTACAAGAACCAGACTCCCGCCAAATCTCCTCACACTTTTTCCACTACACCAGCACCAATCTCACGTCTACGGTGCAATCATCAAAGAGGGCCTCTATGAAGCGGACCCCCACGAGAGACCACTCCTCCCTGGAGAACGCTTTCGCAGGGTCCAAAAAGAGCCCTCGCTCTCGGGCCCACAGAAACAATCTCTCAAAATCACTCCAGGAAACAGAAACCTGTTTCCACTCCAGGACCTCCATCCAGAGGTTCAAAAAGAGGGAATCCTTCTCGAAACCCACAGAGGTTGCCATCACCATCAGAACAGGCAAAGCACCAAAGAGGGGGGCGGACAACACGACCTCACCACGATCCGGACTCTGTGTCTCAGCCTAGGCTGCAGTTCACTGCAGCGGTCACCAGATGTCGCTATAGGACACGAAACAACACACGCGCACACCGCTGCTCTCAAGGTGAAGAAAAAAGGGAAGTTTATTTTCTGACTCCAACATTTATTGTTTTCCAAGAGTGACAGTGGATTGGAGGGTGACAGTGCCATCTCTCTAATGACACTGGACAAACCAACCATCAACTTTCTCCTTCTCCATAAAGGAATGCAAAACAATGAGTTATTTACAGAAAGTGTGTGAGAAAGTTCGATACAAGAATGTCAACATCAGAAGGCTTAGTTAAAATCCTAAAAAAGCAAACAGAAACCTACTCCCAATGCTACTGCCTGGAACATCATCCTGGGCCTGGGAAAGCAAATCCTGTGAAGACATGGCATCCCTGAGAGAATCGAATTGGAAAACAGGACTCATTTCAAAAACAGCCTTTAAACACCTGGGAACACAGCATTGAGTGGATGTACCATATCCCCTACCATGCACCAGCAGCTATAAAAGCTGAACGGTGCAATGGCCTACTTAAAACCACCTTAAAGATACTGGATGGGGGGACTTTCAATAACTGGGAGATTAATTTAGCAAAGGCCACGTGGTTAGTGAACAGCCAAGGTTCCACTAATCGAGCAGATTCTGCCCAATCTGAGCCCTTGAAAACAACAGATGAAAATAAGGTTCCAGGGGTACATATGAGAGCTATGCTGGGAAAAACTGTTTGGTTAATTCGGCCTCCAGCAAAGACAATCCCATCTGTGGCATTGTCTTTGCCCAGGGACCAGGTTGCACCTGGTGGTTGATGCAAAAGGATGGAGAAACCCAATGTATACCTCAAGGGGACCTTGTATTAGGGTGAACTACCCATGATGCCATGCTTGTATCTGTATCTACATGTATATATGTATATAATTTTTAAAGGTTTAAATTTGATGTAACATGTTGGTATGGGAAAAAATTCGGGGTGGATAATGTTGGGGGCTGAGTTTTGGTTGTTTTCTTTCTTTCCTGTTCTCTCCTTATCACCTGCAGAATTTCTTCCCGTTGAGTGGCTAATGGGAGCTGATGGCTTGAGCTGGGTGGGGAGGGGGAACTCTTGTTTTTTTAGGAGTTTCTCTGGGAGGCGCAGGGGGGATGTGAGACTCTGTCCAAAGTTCCTCTTATCTGCCTCACATCGTCATTGGGCACCACTGAAGAAAAGACCCTCCTCTGAAATTTCTGGCCCTGTTGGAGAAAGTCCCTTTCCGAGAACTCTGAGACCTGAGCATAGCCCCTGACTTGCTGAGCTATTGTTCACAGATGTGTTTGCTGTATGCTACATTAAACCCAATGATAGAAGGAGGAGGCACCTTGCCCTTTTTGCAACAATAGCCTTGGATGTGGTCCCACCTCTTGGCCTGGCTGGACTTCTCCGGAGTTTTGGGTGGTCCCCATAGAAGACCCCTCTCACTCGTTTGTAACCACCATGACAGACAAACTGAGATGTAAGGAGCCTCTCCATAAAAAACCAAGACATGAAACCTGTATGTGAAAAGGGCTCCCCCCCTCACACTTTCCAGGGACTGGGACTGAAATACCCAGCCTGGGGGAGGTGTGTGAGGGGAGGCAAACTGACCAAAGCAAGATGGATGTTGCAGGTGTGAGCAGTGGACCAAGAAGACAATGGCTCTTGCCCACTGCTGAGAACATGGGACTGTGCGTACCCTTCTCTAAACACCATTCTTTCCCCCGAAGATACAATAGACTACCTTTCATTCAGTTTCAAGATTCATCCCCTTCCCCCATCAAAAAAAGAGTATAATTAGAGTCTGGGTGAACTGCACACCTGAGATCTCCCTGGACATGACCTGGTGAACTCCATCGGCTGGACATCAAAGGACTTTGCCACCCTACGTTTGGTAGCTATGTACCTTTCTTTCTCTTCCTCCCTCTTTTCCTTATTTTTCCCTGTTTTCCCCAATTCCTCCCCAACGCATTTTGCTGTGGTTATTCAATAAAGGTGCATTTGTTTTAATTATCACTGCAAACCCCCCTTATACCGTGTTGGTATTTTTTGCACCCTGAGATCAAATCCACGAATGATCATGAAACCATTCATAAGGACGGATCATGACAGGGGGCAGGGATACTGGGAGATTTGGGCTGGGGGCAGTTCCTAGCTTGC